AAGATAAGTACTCGTGTGGTTAAAGTCGCCAACGATTATGTGCAGATTAACATACAAAAGTGGAGCAATAAAAGGTATAAACGAGTCGAAGAATGGCATACGATCTGTTTGTGTATAGTAAGTAGTCATATACAATTTAGTGAAAATGGTGTGAGTAAAATCGGAAAGGGATGTTTGACAGATTTGAAGTTTGTATGGCGATTGTGAAAAGTTCAGTTGCCTCGGTGGGATTCGAACCCACGCGCATAAAAAGCGTAGGCGGCGTCCATGCTCAAATGAGAATAGCAATTACAACATAAAATATAACTGCATTTTATTACGGTGCTCAACGAATTAAACAGACGTTTCACTGAACAAAGCGTCCGTCGAAAGAGATGAGAAATCCTCGTCCGTTCCAACGTGTTGTTTTCACTTTCACTGCCAAACTGGAGAACTGTAAACTAAAAAGTAATTTCCCTGTCGGACATTATTTTTTATGAGAACTATCGATGTAAGCTGTGAATAAAGTTGCACAAAGTTTTCCCTTTCGGTTACCAATCATCATCAGCGCACCTCGGCCCCCTTCAGACGTGCACGTGCAGGGTGCAGGGTGGATTGAATCGAGTCTGTATAAGCCATTGATGACCTATCGAACTCACCTCCTTACATGCCTACACTGTGACTGTCAACTCATTTTAGAGCCAATTTTTCACGCCCACACGCTACGCAGATTTCAAAAACGACCAGTGTGTACTGCATTCTGTGAATTCTTTTCTTGACTCAAATACCATTTGTGGTCAAACATATCACCTACGGCCCGCGAACGAGCAATTGCCAATGTATCGGACCTAGCGACAACGCTTAAGAGAGAGAGAGAGAGTGCGCGCGCGGTGCAAAACATTAACCTGGGTTAAAGCCAACCAGTGAGGGCACTAAGAACAACAATAAACCAGTAACTTTTCAGCATGATTCTGACCGAAACCAATTTAGGCAAGTGAATCACGATTATGGAAGATTTATTCGAAAACTGAACAACTTGATTACATACAATCGAGATTAGGCACAACATGCACGACTGATGCATAGTCGAAAATGGGAACAATGCAAACAAATGAATTTTATTTCGAATTGCAGTGCTCAGCTGGAAGACCAAAAAAGTGATGCCAATTTCTTTTGTTAGAATATTTGAAATAACAACTTCGGATTCCTGCCTGGCGGGAAAAATCACCAAAATCCTGCATGAATAACAGATGGTTATTGTTTTGAACATGGAATATTCATAAACTAGACCTGAAGTCATCCAGGGTGTAAGCGGAGGAATGGTCTTTCATTAATAATAGCTCAGTAATCTGGGAGATCCGAGAATATGTTTAGACCATCCGTAACGATTTAATAATGGACATAATAGTAGAATACAGCAGCNCAGCAGCACTTATATGGAAGTGGTTGAAGAGAATGATATAAAACACTACCGGGATAACAACTCCCATTCGTAAAGCAGACCAGAAATCCTGGTTTGTCTGTCTGTCTGTCTGTCTATCCACCTACGACCCTGTCTGGCTATATGCTCCCATCCCCTCGCCCCCCCCACACACACACACCTTTCCCGGTTGTAAGCGACAAGCGTATCCGTTTCCAAGTCGGTTTGCATCGGTTACATGCTGACAACAGAAGCGGTGTGTATCCATTGATCTAACCAGTTGCTAATCCGATTAACGCGTGTGTGTTAGCGCGGATGAGTAAATGATTGCTTATTGGGAAATTCCTCCGACGATGTCGCCAATCTATGCACATGGGTGCATCCAGGTCGATCACTCGAAACTGAAGTTTGCTTAAAGTGCAATGTGATATAGCAGAATATAGTAATTCCTCAAAACAGTCTTCGGTCCCATGTCCGGCATGACTAGCTAAATAACCTCATCTTCACCTTCTCCTAGCACTGTATTGTATTTCTGTAAACGGAAGTTCACGGGGTACGTAAATAAGATGAGATATCTTGGTCCCTCTGATTGAGTAGTTTAGTTTTCTGTTTCTTATCAAGCGTGATAATTAGATTAGAAAGATTTGATCATAAGTCAAGGTGATATTCCCAACGCAAATGAGAGCCAATGAATGTTCACACGCTTAGAATAGACGTCGTTTGGTGACGGGATTACACGGTATTTCATGATGGGTTGACCCTAACATATGCTGGATCGTTGAATATTGGAAAAAATCACGAGGGTTTCTTATGGTGCTCACCCGAAAACTCTGGTAGGTGAAAAACCAACTTCGACCAGATCTACGCCACTAGACGACCCAAGAGCCAGCACGCACGCAAATCAAACGGGGTCAAAATGGACCACTTCGTCACAGGACAGTGAGTGGTCTCGGACTGATCGAACGTGCCCGAACAACCACACACACACGCCATGCTCACCTCATTTGATACCGGTCAAAGTTTTTCAGTATAACAATTCATCGTGTCAGTGCGTTTATCTCCTTCATTCACAAGGATCAACATCCAAACTCTGAGGAGCCCTATTTCTCAGGGATATGTTAAATTAACGCTATGGATACCTTTCGGCAAGTTCTCCAATAGGCCTGTGTAAAAAATGGTCCCGCGCCCGATTTGAATACCAACCTGTTTTCAGAATTCCGCATACCTTTACCAATCTCAGCATGATTCATTCCATTAGCTTGTTAGTACCACCATTCATTCCTTTTCTACAGTAAATCCGTTTGGACTGAACTGCATTTGTCAACTAACTCCCACGATGATAACTTGTCGCAAACTTTCGCTTACATAATCGAGATGCAATACGCTCTCATGCGCGCGTGACTGTGGGCGTGTGTGCGTTAGCTCTCCAACTCTAGTGTCAACCATTCATTTTATTCTCATACAGACACTTTTATTGCCCTGCTTTTGCTTTCCTCTTCACTTAGACTCAACACACACACACACACACACACACACACACACACTACCCATCCACTGTTTTCCCCCCAGTTTTACGAGCATAAGTTTTGCTGGAAAGCAAACCATTTCCGATTCATCCTGACGGTCTTCTTGTGATATTTGTAGTAGTAGTAGCAGGGGTTATAGTAGTAATAGTAGTAGTAGTAGTAGTAGTAGTAGTAGTAGTAGTGGTAGTAGTAATAGTAGTAGTAGTAGTAGTAGTAGTAGTAGTAGTAGTAGTGTAAGTGGATGTTCTCTTGTGACCTCGTCACTGCTCCATCCCCATCGAAATGCATTTGAGCATTTACCACTCCACGTTGCTAATGGAAACATTGACAATAACTAGGTTTTTGTTTTAAGATAAAAAATGCCACTACTTGTTATTCCGTCCGTTCTATAGGCAACGGTCGCGGTTTGAGTGTGTGTGTGTGTGTGTGTGTGCGTGTGTGTGTGTGTGTGAAAGAAAACCGGAAGATTTTTCGTTTGGCAGCAAATCTAATAGATTTCTCAATTTCTCAGGGAAGTTACGAATTAACGGATTTCAATGTTCAACACTTGAGGAGAGCACTTGACATTGTCTGCTACTTCAGTTGTCTCTCTTATCGCAAACACGTGATTCAGTCGCATTAGCCGGTTAGAGCAAATGCAGCTATTCTTTCAGCCCGTGCGTTTCAATAAACTTTTCACCGCCAACCTGGTCGTTGTTTTTCAGACCACCAGGTATAGTAAATCTTCAGAAAGCATCTAAACACACCTGAATCTTCGTGTGATTTCAGCTGTCCATCATCTGCATGTACACCACGTTTCTCGGATTGTTACTGTCTGGATGAAACAGGATCCATGTCTGGTTGATCACGCACGATAATCCCATGATTGAGGCAGTAGATGAATCCGATGGAATTTGTCGCAAAACATTTAGGCCAATGTTTTGATACTGCTCCGTTGGACTGTTTGACTATCGTCAAACGCCCACGTCGTTTTCCGGCTAATAACCCACCTCATCGACGTGGTTGCATCCTGGAGCCAATTTCAATTTCATTGAATTGCCTCTTTTTGAACTGTGGTCAAGATGTCGATCGACTGGTCACAAAATTCAAACATCGTGATATTTTGCCTATGGGGAGAAAAAGAACATAAATAGATAAGGAAATACACCACTTAAATATAAATCCATCGAATTGTGCCTGTCTATTTTTTTGAGGTTGAGTCCGGTCGATACACATGCAAGCACAAAGACACGCCACAGAGACACGCCTGAGCAAGTTTCTACGGTTGGGAACGCGTAACTGAGCTTGCGTGTCCATGGTGTTCCCTTTTCCGGACAGCTCAAAGCCCTTTGAGCTTCACCCGTCGGGAGGATATCACACGGTTGAAGGCGTGCATCGAACAGGAGAGTTGTACTGTGTTTCCGGGACACGTTTCCAGTTCATACGGGACGGTATAATGAATGTGTTTGGTGGGACTGCCCAGACGATAGTACAAATGGTTCAGATTTTTCTGGTTTGCTAGGACGATTCATATTTTCATCTGAGACATATACCTTCTGAGGAAAATGCCTCGGTGTTTCGGCCTGATTGCCCATGGTATTAAGTGTCAAGATTGGACAAAATTGGAAGCGGGATAAGAATTACAGACATATTATTATCCTGTTCGCGCGCATTGTTTTAAATTCGTTTATCGAGAATGAGGAGTACAGTTGTTCTTCTTGTCCGACAGGGTCAGTACAAATTGGTTTCCGCGGTTAACCACCTCATCTGTCCACTCCGTAGCCTCAGATTCCAAGTAAGAATCAGCTTGTGATACGGCAGAATCTCTTGATCTGTCTGTCTATCGGGGGGGGGGAGAGAACATCACATAAGCGTATGATGAAAAACGGGCGTGGTTTTGTGTGTATCTGGGTTTGCGTGTGCACACGTGTGTATATATTGATGGATTGGGACGAACCCACCGTGACCAAAATGTGGATAATTTATTGCCATCGAGCATGATCTATGACGTGCACCAAGTACAAAAGTAAGAGGGCAGTGTCACGTGAATTTCCGCACTACTTCGTTTTGTCGATCGAACTATTCCTCTTTTCGTCCCGCAGCAAATTGGTGGTGTGGATGAGCTGTGAATTTTGTTCATAATTTTTGATGATTCCGAAAGCTAGGAACAACCTATTGCTGTGCTTTAGCAATTGGTTATTGTGTGAGCAAAGAGGGAACAGCTCTGTTATGAACATACCATTTTTATCGATAACAAGAAATAGGACTCACCTCCTGAAAAAATAGCTTGATTAATAAAGTTATTTTTCATAGGTAGAAAGTTTTCTACGCTAACTGATTGGGCACACACCCTCAGAAGCATGCAATCGGTTTCGCGGTTCTTCTTGCTCGTCAAGTAAGCATCTCTAACAATCTTCTTCAACATTTGACTTTTATGTGTATTCCAATTGTCGATATTGCTTCTTGGTTGAGACCACTAAGCGGGAATCATTACTAAAACTTCAAGTTCACTGTGTGATCTAGATGAAACGTACTTCGAAAAACTTAAATCAAAGGCCGTTTTCGGATGTGGTTCGTCTTTTTTTCATTAAGGGCTATATGTTTTGTAATTTCCGTTTGCATTGTTTACAATTTCATTCGTACTTTTATTTGATCTTATTTGTCGGCAAATCAAGCCCCAGGAACCTACAAGACAAACCAGTTTTTCGCTTCATTGGCCTAAGGAATCTGAGGTAAGGCAGCCACAGGGACTATGAGCGACTTTGCATTAGGGCTGTGCAATTTTCTGACCAAGCGGGCACGTGTATATTGCCAGGCCGCATGTCACCCAGGTTTGATACCGATACTCTATTTGTATCTCCCACCCCTTATTAGCCATTTTCCACCGCTTGTAGTAAGCCCTGACGCACGTTTTGTAGGCCATGGGGATTGTCTATAATTAGCCATTGGCTGTACTTTAGCTTTCACGACCTACGAGAGAATAAACAAACACTTCACCGACACAGCCCTAACACAACGTCACAACAAGTTTGAAGTTTGGACCTAGTTCTGTGACTTGGGGATTTGCTGTGAGTCACGTGAAAATCCCCCAAGCGAATAAGAAGCATTTGGGGTGGAGGGACGGAGTTTTTATGTTTTGATGACGAAGGCTAGATCAATGTAACAGTATACAATATGAGAGATCTGAATAATTTTTCAAAGGTTCAATAAAAGTAAAATCATGTCTTCCAAGTTGAAATGAACGCTGAACTTTTCAAACAAATTTCTTGGGGAGCCTTTTCTTAACGTGGCCACCACACGGCCACTTCATGAAGCGGCATTCGTTTTCAATAATGCTCCGGTACGCGGCACGGAGAGCTGATCATGCTATGAAATCTACTCCACCTTGAAGCCCAATTTGTTAATCTAATGGAGAAAGCTATGTTTAAAGAAATAGTGGAAAAGCGTTTGCGGGAAAAAGGAGCATTCTAGAACATAAGTTTAGAATTTTGATGCAGAATCGAACCTCGCCCGTTTTGTGTGTTGTCATTTGATGGGATCAATTTTACCTTTATTTGGTCCTAAAAATTATTTACACCGCCGACCTTATATTTTTGGACACTGATGCGAATTTTCCGCTAAAAGAACATGAAAATTTCTTTTTTTTGTTATTTTAAAAGGGACCCCTCATGTGCTCCACCCTTTGCCCACAATTCAAGTAACTTCATGGGTGCTGTGACCTTATGCGTTAGGGGTGTGCCGGAAAGTTGTGTTCATTTTTTAGGCCATATGTGCTAAAGTATAGCTATTAGCGAAGTTTCAACCACCAGATACTACCGAAGGGTGGACAACAGGCAGCGCACGACGGAAAAGATGTCCAACACCTGATGTACATGTAGTGCTGTTTACCGCGGTAAGGCAAATAATGCCGTGATATGGACAATAACGGAAAAAAACATAATTGAAATCGACTGATTTGACTGACTATGCTTCATGCACAATCCTCAGTTCATCGATTCAACCATACCCTTGGAAGCACTAGACTCGAGTTTCGCTCTAATTGGAGCTCCTCATCAGTGCATATCCACCGTCCTGTCCGGGATTTGAACTCCGGACCCATCGCATGGAAGGCGTGTGTGTTACCTCTGTGCCAATCAGCTGATGCCATGGCTGAACCAAACTGCCAATTCATGTTTGTTCAGGTGTTGTCTTCAGTGATAGTCAGTCAGTTCATTTGGCCAGACAGCAACGAAGATGACATAATTGAAACGTGATTAGCAATTTTCATTGTGATCACCTCCGGCGTGATGATCAGATGGTTTGTTCACATGCTCCATTACTTAAACATGAGATCTACTGAAATGCATCTCTCTAATGCATTAACGTTTACACAATGTAGGAGTGTTTCCCACCACTCAAAAATATCAGTAGACTCCAAACACAGTAGTCGGAATTGGAGTAATACTTTGATGGGAGGTGGTACAAAGAGAGCCCCGGCTAGCGAACGAACCAAGAATAGGGCCTACCCAACCAGATGCGCAGACGTAGCTGCAAGAAGTACTTCGCGAGACAATGTCGACTACCACTAGGAACGAACGAATCGACAATTACAGCCTGACGGACAATCCGCATCTAGCCAGAAAGATATCCACCGAATACCACAATGTCGGAGCTGTCGATCAACGTATCTCGCGCCGCGATCGGATCAAACCAGTCGAAATGGCACGCGGAAGAAAAGGCAACGTACGTGCCAAGTGCGAAACAAAACAAACAGGAATTGACTAACAGAATGAGGCATGAATCATCCTGCCGCATGGTTAGGAATTGATTGTATATAAGTAAACGCATACACCGGTTGTTTTTGGGATGGAACCAATAAATGTTTTGCCAGCCAACTCGCCTTCTCGTTACATTGGTGCCGTCGCCCAAGTCAGCACAACGCAACGAAGGTTCCATGGCCGAACGCGTTTGCAAACGGAGATGTGGATAAGTGGATTCGTGATTTTGTATTATTCGCATCATGCAACGGCATCAAAGAGAATGCTTATTTGGTCACCGCGTTGGGTGCACTTCTTTCCGGATGAGCGAGGGCCGCTTACGATTTGAATTCGTAAAGCAACCAAGCCCTGGATTATGAGAAATTGATAGCTGTGCTGGTGGCAGAGTTTTCAAAGGAGGGTGACCGCGAGAAACCGGTGAATCGGTTTTACGCTGCGGAGTACAACCGGACTGAGGAGCCGTTGGTGCACTACCAATATATAACGCGACAAATTTCTCTGACTCTGCCGCGGGCAAACAATGAAACACGGGAGAGGCTTGCCAAAGACCGGTTCATACAAA